TGTGTGTTCATTGCAGCACTGTTTACAATAGCCAGAATCTGGAAACAATCAAAGTGCCCGGGAACAGATGACTGGTTAAAGAAACTTTGGTACATCTACACAATGGAATACTATGCAGCAGTAAAAGAAAAGATGAAGTCATGAAATTTGCATATAAGTGGATCAACATGGAGAGTATCATGCTAAGTGAAATGAGTCAGAAAGAGAGGGACAGGCATAGAAAGATTGCACTCATTTGTGGAATATAAAGTAACAGAATGGGAGACTAACACCCAAGGATAGTAGAGATAACGTCCAGGAGGATTTCTCCATGACTTGGGAGCCAGTCTCACGTGCAGGGTGGTGGGGGGCGGGGGGACAGCTTAGATGCAGAAGGGACCACCAAGTAAAGGACGCTTGGAGGGCCCACTCAGTATGGGAGATGTGTGCTGAAGGTAGACTATACCAAACGTGTTGGCCACTTAATGCTTGTATTGTAAACCACAACACCCAAAAGAAGAGAGAGATTAAAGGGAATGTGCCTGCCACAGAGGCTGGGGGGTGGCTTGCAACGTGGGGGGTCATGGGTTGGAGGTGGTGGGATGGATAGCACTGTAGAGCGCTGTCCTCCCATTGTTCATCGATTTATTCAAGCGGGCACCAGTAACATCTCCATTACCAGGAACAATAGTGGTGGAAAATGGGCACGGGTGGAGGGATGGGTACTCGATCATTGTTTGACTGAAGCATAAGAATAAGAGTTTGTAAGTCTGCAATATACCTCACGATGATTCACTAATAAAAAATTTTTAAACAAAAAAAGTAATAAGTATAAAGCATTTAAAATAGAGTAAGTATGTAATATTCTCACGAGGACAATGTTCATGAGAAATGAACTAGTTCCTGACGTTCCGTTTGCTTTCAACAGAATGAACATCTCCGAATGCAGCAGTTATGTGTACCTGAGCCAAGAACCCAACATAACCAGTGACTTGGCACCAAAACTGTGCAGGAGAAAGAGAGCAGCATGGAGCGCCTTCAAGAGCGTCAAAGAAGTTGTTAAGAGGACAATGAACCTCTGGCTCCAGGCATATCTTTTCGACTCCACCGTTCTTCCTGCACTAACATATGCCTCAGAGAACTGGACCCTACGAAAACAGGATGAGAACGCTATTCAGGTCTCCCAAAAAGGAACCGAAACAACTATGCTTGGAGTATCACACTTCACTCAAGTCAGAGAAAGAACCCGAAGTTCCAACCTCTATCAACGATGATGATCAGGGATGCTGCCTCGTTTGCCAAGCTGTGGAAAATCAGATGGGCGGAACACATAACGCGATTTGGAGACAACTGTTGGACTAGAGCTGTTACCAACTGTATTCCACGCCATTACAAAAGAATTCCTGTCTACTCAACTACAAGATGGTCAGAATTCTTCGTCAAGACCCTGAACAAACAGTTTGATACTCTTCGTGTTCCTGGAGCGAGCAGACGCCATTGGGCTACACTAGCGCTCAACAGGAACAAATGGAGACGTTACTGGCGCCCGCTCAAGCAAATCAGTGAACAACAGGATGACAAGTGATACAAGTGATGTAATAATGTAACATATAGCTTATTATATTCCAAATGTAAGACAAATGTAAGACATTTGAAATATAAGTATGTCACAAATATAGCTATTTTACAATGCTTTTTACTCTTTTCTGTTACCTGCTGAATGAAGGGAAATTATGCCCAAATGTGGATTATCAAATTTATTTAGATTAAATTTATTTTTTAAACTTTTTATTAGTGAATCTCCATGTGGTACCATTGTTGACCTTACAAATTTTTGTGCTTGGGTTTCAGTTATACAATGATTGAGTACCCATCCCTCCACTGGTGCCCATTCCCCACCTCCAATGCTCCCAAGCGTCCCCCCCTCCCCCCACCCCCTCCATCCCACCTCATCCCTGTGGCAGGCATTCCCTTTTTTTCTCTCTCTCCTTTTGGGTGCTGTGGTTTGCAAAAAAAGGCATTGAGTGGCTATCATGTTCAGTCTATAGTCTATTTTCAGCATGCATCTCTCATCCTGGGATATTTAGATGAAATTTAAAATGCACAAAAATTAAAATTAAATTTTTTTAAATTTTAAAAAGATTTTTTAGTCGAATAAAATTATCAAATTTTGAGAAACTCACTTCGAGAAATGTGAGGGGAAAGAGTGATTGATGTTCAATAGAGTACAATGACTTCTCCACAAAGTCATCCTTCAAGAGGAAAAGGAAATGGTTTGAGGAAAATTATTTATACAACATTCATTTGAATAGGGTTTAATATCCAACTATATAAGGCACTGGTAGAACTTTACAAGGAAAAACATACAATCCTATTAAAAAGTGTGGAGAAGAAATAAACAGAAACCTCAAGGTAGAAACACAAATGGCTAAAAAAAATATGAAAAAGTGCTCTACATCACTATTTATCAGGGAGATGCAAACCAAAACAATCACAGCACAGAGACTGGCAATGTCAAAAAAAAATAACCAATGCTGGTGTGAATGCAGAGAGAAAGGGACTCTCATTCACTGCTTGTGGGGAATGCAAATTCTTTCTGGAAAATAATATGGCCCATTCTTCAAAAATTTTGAAATTGACCTTTCATAAAACCCATTTCCTGGGAATAGACCCTAGTAAATCAAAAGCACAATGCAGAAAAGCCATCTGCATTCCTATGTTCATTACAGCACTGTTCACAGTAGACATAATCTGGAAACCTAAATGCTCAAGAACAGACAAGTGGATAAAGAAAGTATGGTATTGTAAACAATGGAACAATAACACAGTTGTAGGGCTGGAGCAATAACAGTGGTAGGGAGTTTGCCTTGCGCACAGCCGGCCCGGCCAAGCCGGGTTCGATTCTTTCGCCTCTCTTGGAGAGACCGGAAAGCTACTGAGAGTATCTCGTCCTCAAGGCAGAGCCTGGCAAGCTACCCGTGATGTATTCGATATGCCAAACACAGTTACAAGTCTCACAATGGAGACGTTACTGGGCCCGCTCGAGCAAATCGATGAACAATGGGAGGACAGTGACGGTGACAGTGACAGGAAAAACAAATTCATGAAAAACTGAATTTATAAAAAAAAGAATTCATGAAATTTTCTTATAAATGGATCAATATGGAGAGAGTCATGCTGAGTTACATCAGTCAGAGGGAGAAAACATAGAATAATTGCACTCATTTGCAGAATATATATGTGTGTGTGCGTGTGTGTGTGTGTCTGTGTGTGTGTGTGTGTAAATTTTAAACATAGAATGTGGATACTACCCAAAGATGGTAGAAAAAGGGTTCAGGTGGACTGATCCAAGGAAGGAAGATTGCCACAAAGAAGGAGGGAGAGTACAGTTAGGACAGAAAAGGTATCACTATGACAATGATATTTGGAAATGATCAATCTGGACAAAAACTGAGTGCTGAAAGGTGGTAAAGTGACATGCATGATGTCACGATCACGATCATCCTGTTGATTGTCGATTGCCTCAAGCAGGCACCAGTAACATCTCCTTTGCCCAAGCCCTGGGATTTTAAAGTGCCATATTCAAGGCTCTTTCAGGATTAGGAGAATAAGACCCATCATTGTTACTGGTGTTTGCCGTACTGGGTACACCACGGGAGTTTGCCAGACTCTGCCTTGTGGGCAAGTTACATTCGGTAGCCTGCCAGGTTGTACAAAGTAAGAATGAGATAATAAGATGTCACGTGGCCGCAAATGCGGCCGCGCTTCCAGGAGCTTGGTTTTGTATTCTCTGGGTCTTGGCCATTGATGGGATTACACGGAGCCAGGGGGTCAGTTGGTGGGTGTGACCCCTGCCTACTGGAAGATGGAGGATCTGGGTGGAGGATGCTCAGCCCCGATCCAAGCAGGCTTGGAGATCTCAGCCCCAGGATCCGCATGTCTTTGTTCCTCTGCCGGTACCTTCATGTGTGTGGAGAGTGGTCTCAGCATGGTTGTGGCTGGTTCTGGAGGTCTTTGGCTGCTGTAGCTGTGCTCGGGGCAGAGAGGGAAACTCAACCCGCCCCCTCCAAGGGGCTCAGGTGAGGACAGCCAGTTACACTTTCAATAACAGTATTGAAAACCACAGTGCCTAAAAGGAAAATGAGAGAGAAGAAAGAAGAAAGAAAGAAAGAAAGAAAGAAAGAAAGAAAGAAAGAAAGAGGGAGGGAGGGAGGGAGGGAGGGAGGAAAGAAAGAAAGAAAGAAAGAAAGAAAGAAAGAAAGAAAGAAAGAAAGAAAGAAAGAAAGAGTGTCTGCTATAATGACAGGCTGCAAGGACAGGGCAGAAGGGTAGGCGGAAGGGAAAAAAATGGGACATTCAAAGCAGGAAATGAGCACTAGTGAAGGGATTGCTGTTGGAACATTGTATGACTGAAAATCATGAACAACTTTGTAACTGTATCTCATGGTGATTCAATAAAAAAATAAAATTTAAAATAATACTCAGAAGACTCAGTATCATTAAGGATTATGTGGCTATATTTTTGGTATACCATTGATTTTTGCAATTTTTATTCAGATTAGAAGGAATGAGGGACATTACTGTACCATAACTTTGTACCAATCCAGGTTTTATTGTGAGACATTAACAAGATGAAGTTGCAGATTAACGCAGCTTTCTATTCTCAAAAAAATTAAGTCCTACTCTGATTGAGATGGGAGAAACTTTTAAAGACAAAAAAATGTGTTTGGTCACCTTTATGTTACAAAAACAAAGTAATGACACATAAATAAAAGATTGCACAAGACTTTAATCTGTATTTTCAAAGACTAAAAGGACTTAAATGTCTGAAGATTAGGAAGACATACATTTCCAAAAAGTAGAAAAATTTCCATCTGAAAATGTTGCATACCCACAGTTATCTCTCAGCTTCTTTCAACTCTATTACGTCTCACCATTGTGAGATTGTACAGCACCCAGGACCAAATTTTCAACCATACACTGATACTCTTGGACATCATTTAAATTCTTGGGGTGAGAATCTAGTGGTTTTTTAAAAGAGATGCAAATCTTTTGAGAGTATCATGGAAAGACTGTTTGACTTGTTTATTTCTCAGGGTGTAAATGAAGGGATTCAACAAGGGGGCAACAGATACAGTGAGAAGAGAAACTACTTTATTTATGGCCACATCATCCTTAGCTGAAGGTTTGATATACATAAAAATGACACTGCTGTAACTGATGGAAACCACAATCATGTGAGAAGAACAGGTGGAGAAAGCTTTCTTCTTTTGCTGAGCAGAAGGCAGTCTGAGAATCATCCTGATGATGCTGATGTAGGATACAGCCACACACAAAAGGGTCGTGATGAAAATCAGCACAGCACAGGCAACAATCAATTGCTCTAAGAACAAAGTATCTGAACAAGAATTCTTCAGAACTGGAGAAGCATCACAGTAATAATGATTAACAACAGAACTACAGAATTCCAGAAGCAGACCAATGCCTAGAGGTGGGGAAATAGCCAACAAGGCACATACCCAACAACAAATGATGAGATTCCTACAGACTCTCCGATTCATGATGGTCACATAATGCAGGGGTTTGCAGATGGCCACATAGCGATCATAGGACATTACAGCCAAGAGGAAAAAATCTGTAGCTCCAACGACGTCAATACAAAAGATCTGAATGTAGCAGGCACTGACAGGGATGGTCTTGTCACCACTTAAAATGGAGTGTAGGTATTTGGGGATACAGGAAGTAGTGAGTGAGAGTTCCAAGAAAGAGAAATTTTGAAGAAAAAAATACATAGCTGTTTTTAAATGAGGATCCACCAAGGTGAGAACTATTATGGTCAGATTCCCAAGTACACTAAACAAATATGTGAGAAACAGAAAGATGAAAACCACAATCTCTAGTTGTGGGTCATTTGTCAATCCCAGTATGATGAACGTTGTGATAGAGGAATGATTTCTCATCACTGAGTTCATGGTAGTGTCCAGTCTTCACATAAAAGTCCCAGAACTTGCATCTGAGAGTGATTCAAAAAATACCATAGGATTAAACAATAACTATAAATAACAAATCCATTCATATTCTTTTCCTTATCTAACTAGATAATCAGGTTTTGAAGAAGTAATTTCCTTAGCACCATTTAAATGTACCTCAAGAAAGCCAAACTTATCTGAAGTTTTTATTACTGATCCCAAAATAGTTTTCAATAATTCTTAGCATTATTTCTCAGCACTATTTTCAACTAATATCTTCAAAATCATGGGCCAAAGAGCTATGCAAATATACTGAGTGCCTGCTTTTCTTGCAGAACACCTAGGTCCAAATCCCAGCATTGCGTGTTCCCCTGAGTACCACCAAGCACTGATCCAGGTGCAGCTTCCAAACACTGCCAAATGTGATCAAAAAAATTATACATGTATGAATATATTTTTTAAGGTAAAGGTGCTCTATTAAATCAGAAATAAGCTGCCTTTGAGTTATGTTTGGTAGGTCAGAGTACATCATGTTCTACTTTTCAACTCAAAAGAATATCCAAAAATTTCTTTTCTTCTGGTTGCAATATCTCATAGTAACACTGTAGCACTGTTGTCCCATTGTTCGAGCGGGCATCATTAATGTCCCCGTTGTGAGACGTGTTACTGTTTTGGGCATATAGAATATGCCATGGGAAGCTTGCCAGGCTCTGCTGTGTGGGCGGGATACTCTCAGTAACTTGCGGGGCTCTCCGAATGGACGGAGGAATCAAACCCAAGTCAGCCGCATGCAAGGCAAACACCCTAACTGCTATGCTTTCGCTCCAGTCCATAAAACTAAAAATATGTGCGATTGTATTTGTGCCCTCCAATATTCTAGAGGTCTCAGGGCTGTAGACTACGTTGAGAGTCTGTATGCCAAGAAACAAGAGAAGCTAGAAAAAATGGAAAATTTTCTGGATTCCTATAACCTCCTACAATTGAACCAGGAAGACTTGGGATACCTGAATAGACCCATTCATATCAAGGAAATTGAAGCAGTATTCAAAAGACTTCCCAAAATCAAAAGCCCAGACCCAGACGGGTTGACTGGTGCATTCTTCCAAACATTCACAGAAGACCTTTTGCCAGTTCTCCTCAAGCTCTTCCAGGAAATTGAAAAAAAACAGGAACGCCCCCAAACAGGTTCTATCAGGCACATATCTCCCTAGTACCTAAAGCAAACAAAGACACCACCAACAAAGAAAACTATAGGCCAATATTGCTGATGAACCGTGTGAAAGAATGTGAAGGTCCTCAACAAAATATTAGCAAATAGAATCCAACAACTCATCAAAAAGATCATACACCACGACCAAGTGGGATTCATCCCGGGGATGCAAGGATGGTTTAACATTCTGAAATCAATCAACATAATCCATCATCTCAACAAAAGAAAAGATAAAAACCATATGATCATATCAATAGACTCAGAGAAAGCTTTTGACAATATACAGCACCCGTTCATGATGAAAACTCTCACCAAAATGGGTTTTGAAGGAACTTTCCTCAAGATAGTCAAAGTCATCTACGACAAACACATGGCAAACATTATCCTCAACGGGGAAAAACTAAGGGCCTGTCCTCTAAGATCAGGGACAAGACAAGGATGCCCACAATCACCACTTCTGTTTAACATAGTACTGGAAGTACTTGCAATAGCGATTAGGCAGGAAAAAGACATTAAAGGTATCCAGATAGGAAAGGAAGAAATCAAGCTCAAAGGAAGAAATTTCAGACGATATGATATTATATCTCGAGAATCCTAAGGCCTCTACCAAGAAACTCCTAGAAACAATAGCCTTGTACAGCAAAGTCGCAGGCTATAAAATCATCACACAAAAATCCATGGCCTTCCTATATGCAAATAATGAGAGAGAGGAAAGTGACATGAAAAAAATAATCCCGTTCACAATTGTGCCCCAGAAAATAAAATGCCTTGGAATCAGCCTAACTAAAGAGGAAAAGGATCTCTACAGTGAAAACTACAAAACTCTACTGCATGAAATAAAAGAGGGCACGAGGAAATGGAAACACATCCCTGCTCCTGGAGAGGAAGGATCAACATCGTCAAAATGGCAATACTCCCGAAAGCATTATACAGATTCAACGCAATCCCTATAAGGATACCCACGAAATTCTTCAAAGAAATAGATCAAGCACTCCTGAAATTCACATGAAACAACAAACGCCCACGAATAGCTAAAGCGATTCTTGGGGAAAAGGCATGGGGAGGCATTACCCTCCCCAACCTCAAACTCTAATACAAAGCGGTAATATTTAAAACAGCATGGTACTGGAACAAAGGCAGGGACGCAGACCAATGGAACAGGTTGTAATATCCATACACACAACCCCAAGTGTATGAGCATCTAATCTTTTATAAGGGAGCAAGAGATGTGAAGTGGAAAGTGTGAAAGTCTCTTCAACAAATGACGCTGGCATAACTGGACAACCACATGCAAAAAATGGGCTTAGATGTCAACCTAACACCATGCACAAAACTCAGATCAAAATGGATTAAAGATCTCAACATCAGGCCAAAATCCATAAGATACATTGAAGACAAGGTCGACAAAATCTCCAGGATATTGAGGCTAACGGTATCTTCAAAGATGACACCCCACTGACCAACCATGTGGAAACAGAGATAATCAAATGGGACTACCTTAAATTAAGAAGTTTCTGCACCTCAAAAGATACAATAATCAGAATACAAAGACAATCTACAGAATGGGAAAGGATATTTACCCAATACCCATCTGATAAAGGGTTGATATAAAGGATGTAGAAAGCACTGGTTCAACTCTACAAGAAGAAAACATCTAATCCCATCAAAAATGGGGTGATGAAATGAACAGAAACTTTCCGAAAGAAGAAATCCGAATGGCTAAAAGGCACATGAGAAAATGCTCTACGTCATTAATCATCAGGGAGATGCAGATCAAAATAACAATGAGATGTCATCTCACACCACAGAGACTGGCCCACATTCAAAGGAACAAAAGCAACTGGTGTTAGCGCGGATGTGGCTAGAATGGAACCCTCCTCCACTACTGGTGGGAATGCCAACTGGCTCAGCCGTTTTGGAAAACAGTATGGATGGTTCTCAAAAACTTAGAAATTGAGCTCCCATTTGACCTAGCAATACCACCTTTGGGAATTTATCTCAGCGAGGCAAAAAAGTACAGTTGAAATGACATTTGCACTTCTATGTTCATTGCTTCACTATTCACAATAGCCAAAATCTGGAAAAAACCCGAGTGCCCGAGAACAGATGACTGGTTAAAGAAACTTTGGTACAGTTAAACAATGGAGTACTATGCAGTTGTTAGAAAAGTTGAAGTCATGAAATTTACATACAAGTGGGTACTGCATGGAAAGCAGCATGCTAAGTGAAATTAGTCAAGAGAGGGACAGACATAGAAAGATTGCATTCATCTGGGGAACATAAAGTAGGAAAATGGGAGACTAACACTCAAGAATAGCCGAGATAAGTATCAGGAGGTTGACTCCATGGCTTGTAGCCAGCCGCACATGCTGGGGGAGAAGGCAGCTCAGATAGATTGCAGAGCACCAAGCAAAGGGTGTTGGGAGGATCCTCCAAGGATGAGAGATGCATGCTGAAAGTAGACTATAGACCGAACATGATTGCCATTCAATGCCTCTTTTGCAAACTACAGCACCCTAAAGGAGAGAGAGAACAAAAGGGAATGCCCTGCCTCAGGGGTGGGGTGAAATGGCGGGTGTGGGAGAAATGCTGGGAGCATTGGAGGTGGGGAATTGGCACTGGTGGAAGGATGGGTACTCTATCATTGTATAACTGAAACCCAAGCACAAAACTTTGTAAGTCTACAACTGTACCTCATGGTGTTTCACTAATTAAAAAAAAAAGTCATAGGTATAAATAGCAGTACTTCGCTTTCTCTATTTAATGATAACAGAGGTACCACCTTGTATTTTTTAATATTTGGAGATTAAGTACAGACCTTGAAACAATTTGATGGATGAAATCAAATCATGTCTTTCATTGAAAAACTGAGTCACTTTGGCTAAATTTCTGTTCCCAGTTTCTCAATCTGTAATATGGGATTAAAGGAAATAATTAGACATAAGGGCTCCTGATGGGGTGGAGAAAGGCGGGGTGGGGGGGGCGGGAATTTGGAGGGGTGTTAAATAAGATAAGCCATGTAACATGCTTGTATTAATTTATAACATATTTGGTTCTCTATTTCTTATTTTCTGTTGGAAATTTCTGTTATCATCTCAAGAAGACACCTAACCATATGGGTAAATCTCCTTCTCTCTCTCTCTCTCTCTCTCTCTCTCTCTCTCTCTCTCTCCCTTCTTCCTCTCCTCCCACCACTTTCCCTCTCCTTCTCTCCAATTCGTGCCTTCTCACTTTATTTCATATTTCTAGATCTACTTTATTTTTTAAATTTTTTTAGTAGTGAAACACCATGAGGTACAGTTGTAGCCTTACAAATTTTTGTGTTTGTGTTTCAGTTACATAATGATCAAGTACCCATCCCTCCATCAGTGTCAATTCTCCACCACCAATAAACAGTAACCCTCCCCACACCACCCCACCTCACCTCTGTGGCAGGGCATTCCCTTTTCCTCTCTCTTTCGTTTAGGGAATTGTGGTTTGCAATAAAGTTATTGAGTTGCCATCGTTTTCGGCCTATAGTCTACTTTCAGCACGCATTCTCGCATCCCGAGCGAGTCCTCCAAACACCGTTTACTTGGTGTTCCCTTCTCTGTCTGAGCTGTGTTTTCCCCCAGTATGTGCTGCCAGCTTCCAAGCCGTGGAACAGGCCTCTTGGTACTTATCTCAACTATTCTTGGGTGTTCATCTCCCACTCTCTTACTCTATATTCCCCAGATGAGTTCGGTCTTTCTATGTCTGTCCCTCTCTTTCTGACTCATTTCACTTAGCATGATACTTTCCA